TTCCATGTGAAACAGAATTTTTTTCATATATATCAACCCACAATACATTGCAATAGGCTGAATGCAGAAGCAAAGGTGAATGTGTCTTTTATTAAATCAGATATTAAAAATATTTGCAAAAAGGTAAAATGACATTCTTTTCACTAAATATCTTTTCTTTTAAACAATATAGTTATTTATGTTAACATGTGTTTGTTATTAAACATAAATTTATCATTACTATACTCTCTACTTAAAATTAATAAATAGTATTTTAAAATTTCTCAGTTTTGGTTTTGAATACGATGAACATCAAGATATATAGATATAACCCACCTAAACAAAGTATGTTGAAGTTCTCCGTGATTTTTTTTTTTAAGTAGAAAGAGCCTGTGGTGAAACTCTTGAGAACTTTTTCTCCTGAGATCTCTGTAAGGAAAGTGGTGTTTGGGTGACAAATTCACAAAGAAGAGGGGCGCTTGGTATTTGTCAGTTGTGAAAGCTTCTCTAGACTTGGCAATGAGGGTTGCTTATCGAGACAGAATCTTCCCTGAAGCAGCCAAGGAAGGTCATCTACTGCTTAAGACTGGCAAAAATCACTTTTGAGAACATCAGATCCCAAGATCCTCATTAGATCTTCCCTGTTCCCTTCCACATGCCTCCAGTCTATTAAGGCTTCAAATCCACCCTTTTGGCTCTAGGGAAGGTCCAGCCCACACTTCCCGATCAGTACTGTTCATCGTGGCCAGGCGGAGGCTGGACATCTGCCACCCCGGTCATAACAAATGCTACTCTAAGCTCAACAATCAGTGCATGGGAAGCCCTGGGTACTAATCAAAGAAGAGCATGTCATGGCTTTTGGACCAGAGGATGTTTTAATCTGGTAGGGAAGAAAAACTCCTGAAGAAATAATTACAGTATGAATTGATGGATGCTCCTCTGCACATAGTTATCACATTCTTCAAACTGAAAATTAGGATACAATCTGACAAGCAATGTGTCATAGTATCTGACAATGGAATTATCCTGGGGAAATTGGAACACATACCTACTGTATTTATTAAGAAACTCCAACAACTCCACAGAAATCTTGTATAGATTTGTACTTAATTTGCCCCAAAGGCCCAGAAAAAAATAGTTTTTTTTTTTTTTTTTTTTTTTTTTTACATCCCCCTTCCTAAATTCTGGGAAATGACAGTGGCAGAATAGAAAAGGGCAAGAAAACCTCCTTAGGATCACAAAAGATGAGTAATAGCCCTAACATTTTATTTCCCCTGTGTGTTAGTTTTCCCCTGCTATGGGAGCTCTGCAGGATATTTTTTTCCAACATCCTTGTTCCAAGTGGTTCCCCCCGCAGGAAAAGAGTCTAGGTTTGTTCACACAGGTCTCCCACACCAGCTGAAGCAGATCAGGCTGAATTCCAGAGTCAGAGGAATGAACTAGAGAGGCTTCTAAGATCGCATGCCTTGATTGCATGTGGTGACATTAAACAATAGCGCTCTTGTTCTGCCAAGAGACGTTGGTGTCCCCTCTGGGTGGGCTGTTTGGGAAGCAGGGAGGTTCTGGTTGGGCCTGGGTCTGAAGCCTACCCATGCGTCTCCTTCCTCTGGGGCCTGGCCCAGATTCCTCTTTTTTATCTTTCTCCTATTATACCATTCTTTTCCAGCTGTGGTAACTCCAGAGTGAAAGGCAGAAGAATAAAACAATGAACAGCGACAGCATGCTCAGTGCCACACACAGACATCATGCCACCCACAGCTACAGAGGCAGGCAACCCCGGGTCTCAAAGGCAGCCCAAAGTAAAGGCAGGACAAGAAACCTGAAAAATCCATGTTGAGTCTTGGATTCACTAATCCCACTTGACTCTGGGGAAACCATGACTTCTCTCTGATCCTTGGTGAGCTTCAGAGAGGAAAGTTATTTTGAGCATAAAACGGCCTAACATGTAAAATTGCTTGGTCCATGGTTAAGTCTACTATTCATAGTTACAGTTTTCAAATCTTTTCACGTGATTATTTGGTTAGTGTCAGTCTCCCCACTAGTCCTTGAGCGGCATGTAAACCTGAACTGTAACTTTTATTTGTCCACTTTGCCGCCTCTAGAGCTTAGGGCCAGTGCCTGCCATGTGGTAAATACTTGTTGAGATAAGTGTCTGATAAAAAAGGAGTTGGCAGGGTTTTGGTTAGGGACCTACCCCAAAATAGCAAGCCTTGGGTCTCCTGACAGCGTGCACAGATTGGTATTTATCTGGAGCAAAGTGTCACAAAGGAAAAAAAAAAAAAGTGTCACAAAGGAATTGGAAGGTGGCATCTGGAATCAGTAGGGAGAGTGGGTACTGATTGATTACTGACACTGGCTATGGACGAAGATGCTAAGTAGTTCTTGACTTTGGTCTGGGGTGTCAAGATCAAGATTTTTTGCCAGTTATTTTTAGTGCAAATTAGCCTGTTGTATAATTACAGAGCTATTTCAGGAGGACTGAGGTTACCAAATGCTTGGCCTGATGGTAAGTAGCATGACTTCGGGAATATTTTTTAAAATCCACAGATAAGAAAACACGAACAATGCTATGCAAAGAAGCTAAAAGCAAACCACTATCATGTCTGCCTGTCTCCATGAATTTCCTTACTTGGAATGCAAGTTTCATGAATCAGTTGATAACGGCAAACAGAGTTGACATAAAGCAGCTTGAGTATCCCACAATCAGACAGAACTTAAGCAATGTGCTTTCCCCCTCCCCCCGCCGAAACTGTAAAACAGCTTCTCTACTCACGAGGATAATCCTTTGGGTGTGTCTTCTCCGACCAGTTCCCATAAAATGTGAGTCTGTACTTGGCAGTTCCACAGGCGCAGCAGTCTAAGATGGGTTTGTCAGTCACCCCGTCCAGTGTGGAATCTGAAACAGGAAAGTCACTATGTTAAGGAGAAAATAGGGTTCTTGTATAAGGCAGCACCATGTTGGTGTGCCTCAGCCTGAATCCCTAGGGGAGAAAAAGGAAGCCCAGTTTTCACTGATTAATAAGACTCCGAGCCAGTGTTTGGACTAGATTTTATCTAGTTGTAAAATTTACTCAATGATCTTTCTGGATGCTCACCTCCTTCCTCATCCCTCTCAAAACAGGATTTCTAGACAGTATTTTAAGAGGGATGCACAAGTTTTTCTCTTAAGAAATATTCTTTGGGGCTAAAAGGCAGACTGGAGGAAGTGGCTTTAAAGGAGAATGGTGAGAATAAGTAGAAAGACGTGAGGAAGAACTGCTGAAAACGATTGTAAAATGCTTATGTAGTCACATCGCTTCTTATCGCGATCTCAGAGCCTGTACTGGGAGGGATGGGGGTTGGCAACGTGTTCATAAGTTCAAGCAGCCAGGAAAAATTTAAGATTCCTTCTCCACCCCCATCTTTAGTTGAGAGGACCTGATAAGTGGGGAAAGAGAGACTGCATGAACAAATTCAGTATTTCCGACTGTTCACCTCACAGCCCTACCCGGGCTTCATCACTTTTTGCCTGCTCTGCTTCCTGCAAGACGAAAACAATGACTACACATGCAACTTGCTGCAACTGCTTTTGTCTCTAGTTCCCCTAGCAGTATTCACATAAATCTTTTCTTTTCTGCAAGTTGGACATTTATTCTTAAATGCTGTACAGACAGCAGCAACAGAGTCTAAAAATCGTTTTGAATGTCAGAAAGAATATTTTGCAAGTCTTCCTCTTAGAATTCACTGGGTTCACTAGGTTTGAACATGCAAAATCAGTGATCTGCAGAAGGGAATCCTAGGCTCTAAGATAGAGACAAAGGTGTGAGATATTGGAATGATAACTGCAATGTACTGAGGGCTTGTTTGTGCTCGTCCCTGTCCGTATCCATAGCTCATCTTTGGGTGGAGAGAAACCTGTTCTGTGAGTGTTCCATGGGATGAGCAAACATTTCTATAAGTTTTAACTTGATAAATGAGTGATGCCTTGCAATACGAATAGGTCATAACGCTGAATGTCACATGATCACAAGTGTCATTGGATAAGTTTCTTATTTTGTTTTGGTACCGGGAATTGAACTCACAACCTCATGCTTTCCAGCCAGGTGCTATGCTGCTGAGCTATATCCCCAACCCGTAGGTTCCTTGTTAAAGACGTGTGAAAAGTAAAAGATTCCATTAAGCCAATGGACAGCAGTGATTCCGTTAGACAGTGAAGGTGGTCCCATATAGTCAATAATCCTCTCTCCTGTCTCCCTCACACCAGGCACAAAGGTTTTTAAAGGCAAGTACAGGTTAATTTGTTTATTTTTCTTTACATTTTGTATTTTCTTTATTGTTTTGTATTATATTACCGTATTGTAATCATCGTTATATGAATTTTTATTTTAGGTTGTGGAACAAATCATCTGAATTTCTATTATTTCTTATGGGGAAATTCACTTTGATGTACAAGTGCTTTGGATTACAAGCATGTTTCCTGAACGAATGACACTTACAAGCCAAGGTTTTACTCTATTGTCTCATTTATCCTAACAACCCTTGGAAGTAAGTACTTTTGTCATCTTTATCTTACACAGCAATGCACTGAGGCAAGTAACTTGCTCAAGGTCACAAAGTCAGTGAGCAGTGCAAGCAGAACTGGATCCCAGGTCCTTTTGGATCCAGAGCCCCTGCCCTTAATCTCTGCATTATATTCTTCCAGAAAAGAACAACTCTGGACAAGTCTTCACAAATAACAATGAAAAAAGCCCTTCTTTTCCTTGTGATTCTGTTTCACTTTTGCCTTTTCGAAATGAAGAATGGTGGGTTTAAAAAATTACTTCCCTATACAGCCCCAGGATTTCTAAACAGTCCCAAAGGAGAGGATTTCAACCACCCAAAGTAGAAATTATTGTTTGACTACTTTCTGGACACTTGGAAGAGTCCAGATTGCCACAGTGTGTCCAGGAGGCCAGGATCTGACTCCTGAGTGAGCCACTTTGATTGCGAAGGGCCAAGCCCACTGGAGTATATTTGAGGAAAGGTAGTATAAACCAGGGACTCCTGAAAAAACTAAATTAGTTTTGGAAAAAAGGATTCAGAGCTAAGAGATACACGCTGGAGTTTCCATTGTAACTATCAGGTGCAGTTAAACGAGGGGGCAATAATCTCTCAAAGGCCCCAAATAAAGCCAATTGGTAGTTTTGCCTTATCAAAAAAGGCTTTCAGATTTAGGTGGTAAAGTTAAAGATATTTTCAAGAGTTTAAAGAAATGTACTTACAACAAACCTTTTGGGATTCCAAAGGAAAATAAGCTTCTGCCTAAAAAATAAATGTGTAGGTTTGAAAATAACAACTATTTCCCGCTGAGGAAAGCTGACTGATAGTGAAGCGGGCTTTCAAAGGGCGGTGATAACAAGCTGCTCCCCACAGAACCGTAGTGGGATGCCAAATGCAGCAACCTCAGGCCTGGAGCTCCTTCTCCGTATTTCTGCTCTTAATCCGCTGGTTTCCTTTTCAACTTTCCCTGGTATTTTTTGGTCTTTCATTTTTCTTCCTTTTCTCATTAACCCTCTCTGCTCACTTTCCATCATCTGTCCTCCTCTTAGTCTCTCTCCTTTTTTATGACACGGCATCAAACTGTATGTAGGCATGCATTTATTGTAGGTTACCTTCTTAGCTATTTTATGTCTTTAATTCTAAGCTGCTTAACATTCATGTTGGTATAAAAAAAACCCAGTAAATGTTATTGCTTGTTAATCTGTGTGGCTTGTAATCTTCCCCTATGGATTAATGGTTTTATTTTGGGAAAAAATAATAAATGCAAATTTCACTCTCCCCTGGATAGATTTGATTTGGTTCATCAAGGAAGCAAGGATGCAGCAATCTTAATGAAAAAGCTAGAGTTAGTTAAGCAGTCACACACAAAGAATTTCTTCAGGCGATCTGCTTTGTTAACTGATTTCTTTATGGGCCTGCTATCTGAGAATCATCTCAACTTTATCTATTGATCCTACATTCCAGGACCTGCTGGCCCCCATCCTTTTTTTTTTGTCAAAAACTGCCACTGGCAAGTAGTCTTTCTGTATAGATGTGTGGTGAGTCACTTTGGTAGGAACTCTGCCTAGATAGAAACAACTAAGTTTGCCATGCCTTTTTTTTTTAGCGCTATATCTATAAATTTTAGCACATCCATGGCTCAGACAAGGTTTCACATAACATTAGATCTGAAAGCTCTGGAAAGTGGCTCTAGTTAATGATTGCTGTCTGTACACAGAGTTGTCAGTATAGGGTACCCTGAGAACTCTCAAATCTTGCAAATAAGGCTGTCCTCTGACAGTCAAACTAATTGAGCACCTCAGTTGCTGTCATTAGCCACCTATGGAGGAAGACCACAAGGTAGTGTATAAGTGTGCGATCTAGAACACCCAGAGCTCTAACCTACAAGGTCTGGGTATCATTTCATAGGTAGACTGTCATCTAGGAATTGAGAGCTTCAGAGTTGAGATGCTTTCTGGAGAAAAGTTGAGTGAGTGTTTGGGTGGTGAAATATTGGTGCTTACACGGAAGCTGGCCAAGGCCTTGGACCACAGCTCCTAGCTCTCTGGCTCTGGCAGCAGGTATAGTCCTGATGACAGAGGATCCAGCTAGGTCTCTACGGTCTCCGACAGAGGACTTCATTTTGCTCTAATTCATCTCTAGCAAGACAATGTGTAGAACAGCCCAAGGCACTAATGCAAGCTACTGCATTTTCCTCTTAAGAGTAACAAACTTTGAAGTTACTATATGTCAATAAGCAATATTTTTTAAATCAGTTTTTCTTAAATGATATTCTTCATATAACATGCTATTAGTTTACTAGGTTTTGCCTGGTACACAAAGGGCTTTTATATTTAAAGTTGACTTTATTTTTTTAATTTTTTTTTATTTTAAAGAGAGTAGTAAAGCGAAACAAACAAAAAATAGAACAGTAGCAGCGTATCAGTATCATGAACATAAACAAATCAGAGCAAGAATATTCAAAGTGATACAGGGGCTAAAGACAAAATAATACAAAACAACAGTGATTGTTACATTACATGTCGCTTTCCTCAACTACATTGCTCAGATTACCAGATGTAAGAATGAAAGATTGCTCAAACCATTAAAGAGAATAAGAAAATAATTCTTCAGTAAAACATTAGAGATAATATGGAGTTTCACTAGACAAGATGGTAGGAGTTCACCATTGTAATTCCAGTGCATATTGTTACCTTCAAATCAGTTGCTCAGACCACCAGACACAAGCAGGCAAAGTCGATCAGAACATAACAAATTGTGAGCATTAACTGTTCATTTCAATACACCATCAGACATCAGCAATACAGTTATCACAGCTATTCATATATATACCTATATTTTGCCTTCTTTTTTTCTTGTTTCTTCTTTTCCTCATCCCAGTCATTCTTTCCTTTAAGCAATTTCTTTCCCTTTCCCATCATCTATTGTATATTCTGAGTTTTACCTAGTCTTTCAGGTTCCTACACCAAGGAGACAATATGATGTTTACACATCTGGGTCCAATTTATTTCACTTAAGAGTATGGTCTCTAGTTGCATCCATTTACCTACAAACGCCTTGAGTTTATCTTTTTTAATAGCTGAGTAATACTCCATTGTATAAAAATACCACA